AATATAATATAAGTGAATGCAATATAAAGGAAGTCATTTGAACTGAGGAGGTGGAGAATCCTTCAAGACGTTACTTTATATGACATCTCTGTATCTTCTGCAGTGGTAGGTACTAATTTGTATGCCTTACACATTTTGAGCAAGCAAACCATTACTAGAAAAGTACTCTGAACATTTCTCTGGTGATACTCACCATATTGATATGAAAATCACACATAATGAAATGGGAAGAGCAACTGACTGCTCTAAATCTGTAAACACTCTTCCCACAGTGGTTGTACTCAAACCAATATAGAAGAGCTAAATCTAGAAAAATAATTCTTTGTGAAAGCAGGCCAAAATCCCTCCAATCTTCAAGAAAAAGAATGATGAGGGGTTGGCAATGGAGGCAGATTATCAAGTGCATTGAAGAAGTCCTGACCCTAGCCTTGTACTTTGAAGCATGCCAATCACTAACAATGAAACAGTAAGATAGTAATTTAAAAATGGTTCTATATAATGTGAATTGTCTGTGCAAGTAAAACAAAAAACAACCTTGGAGAAAAATCTCCAACTACTTACCTATTACTTAAAAGAGCCAAATGAACTGGTTGGTATAGAGTAAGTTTGTGAAATGAAGGGACTAGAAGATGCAGATATCATTATAAAAATAGTGACAGGATTAAATGAACACTGCCTTTAGAAGAGTCTCATAGAATCCCTTCTTTGAAAGGGTAAGTTAACAAAATATAAATCTTTCTAATTGTGGAAGCTTTAAAACTCTGTTTTTCATAGATGTAAATTTCATGTAAACCTCTAGAAAGCAGTTAAGTGTTAAGAGAAAGAAAAGAAGAAAGGAAGGTAGGAAGGAAGAAAGGAAAGAAGGAAGGAAGGAAGGAAGGGAGGAAAAGGAGCTCCATTACTTATATAAGCAACCCTGAGGCTGAAGTGGTAAGGCAGACATGAATTTCTATACCCAATGGAAAGAGAACTAATATCACAGACCCCTTAAGTGATAAGATGACTTTCTAAAAGTTTACCAAGATACAGCAACCTTGTGAATGTCTTTACTTCAAAAATCAATTCTGGGAGAAAAGATGAAACTAAACAAAAAAATCAATAGACATTTATTAAGTGCCTACTATGTGCCCAGCACTGTGCTAAGTACTAGAGATACAAAAAAGATAGTCCCTGACTCAAGGAACTCACAGTCTAATGAGGGAAATAACATGCAAATTAATATATACATATAAGCTATATGTAAGATAAAAAGTAAATAATTAACTGATGGAAGGAAGGCACTAGAATTAAGAGGGGTTGGGAAAGGCTTCCTCTATAAGACTGGCTTTTGAAGAAAGCCAGGGAAAAGCTTTTACCTTTGAATTTGCCTTCCCCACATACTCTATATTTATCTTGTATGTTCGGATTTATTTATGTTGATTCTCTCATTAGAATATAAGCTTTTTGAGGAAAGGGATTTTTTTTGCATTTTCTTTGTAATACTGACGCTTAACACAGCTTCAAGTGCTTAATATATACTTGTTGATTGATTAGTAGTTTTAAATATGTTAATATTCATTCTGGAAATACAAAAGAGCTAGGGAAAGGAGCTAAAACAGATCATCTAAAATTTTGCAGATAGTGACAGTAGATTCCTTTCATCAAATGAATTCATATATGTAAAATGTTTAGTACAGAATCTGGACCATAATAGGAGCTTAAGAAATGCCTGTTAACCCTGAGGAGACACAGTAAAGACCACACAAGATTTAGCAGCTACCACAGTAGAATAGAAAAATTGGAACATAATATTCTAGAAGGCAAAGAATCTAGGCTTATAATCAAGTATAATTTAGCCAGCACAAAATGAGCATAACAAGGAAAAAATAAATTGTTAATGAAATAGAGATTTTTCAAATATTCTTCATGAAAAGACCAGAGCTGTATAGTAACTTTAAACTACAAACACAGGACAGGAGAGAAATACAAAAAGGTAAACGTGAGTGAACAATCATAAACATTCATAACAGATTAAAAATTGTTTATATTCCAATATGGAGAAATTTATGGGTCTCCTAAGAACCCTTTCACCAACAGGGATCAAGGTGAGAATCTAGTAAGACAGAGGGTCTGGGAGTTGTTTCTGTCATGTTTTGAAGATCTTATTAGAAGAATGGAAAGGGAGGGGGAAATAGTTGTGGGGGCTTGGGAAAAGAAATGTGGGGAAAATTATCTCATACGATCAAGGAATACAATCCGAATACCATACAAACATGGTGGAAAGGGGTGGATGGAGTGTCTGACACTTAAATCTCACTATTATCCAAATTAGTCATAGGAGGGAAGAACACTCACACACAGAGAATGGAGGTAAAGGAATATATTTTACTCAACATAGAAATGGGAGGGAAGAGTCTGATAGAACGGGGGGAATAAACGGGAAGGTAGATTAAGAGAGGGATTACTCCTGGTCAAAACAAACTCTAACCACAGAAGGTAATTCCCAAATAGGGGTTTAAATAAAAGGGGGGTAGCTAGGTGGCGCAATGGATAGAGTACTCAAATCCTGCCTCAGACACATGATACTTAATAGCTGTGTGACCGCTAGGTAAGTCACTTAACCCCAATTGTCTAAAAAAAAAAAAAAAGAACCTGTGATTGGGTTCTGGGTGGGGAAAAGATAAGAGGGGCTGAAGCAAATTGCAGCAAAGGGCACTGGAATGATGAACACAAAGGTAAATTTAAATCTATCATACCTCAGCTAAAGTTAAAAAAAAAAAAGGCAAGGGTAGTAATGATCATTTCAGTCTAGGAAACAGCAAAGATAGACAATTAAAAGAGATAAATAACAAAACTACATTTTGCTTAAAAGGTATCATAGACAAGTTAATACTGATACTAAACATGTATGCACAGCATCTAAATACTTAAAGGAAAAGTTAAATGGTTACGGTGGGGAATAGACAATAAAACTATAATAGTGGAAGACTTTAATTTACTCCTTTTGGATCTGGATAAATCTAACTAAAATTAGAAAGAATTTAATTATTTGAATTGAATTTTAAGAATGTGAGATATGACAGACCTCTGGAGGAGGACAGAGATCAAGGCCTGGAGTCAGGAAGAACCTGGACCATAATAGGAGCCTAAGAAATGCCTGTTAACCCTATTCAAATATGGCCTCAGACACTTACTAGCTTTGTGACCCTGGGCAAGTCACTTAACTTCTTTTTGCCTTGGTTTTCTCATCTGTAAAATGGGGTAAAAGCATCTCCCTCAGGGTTGTTGTGAAGATCAAATAAGAAAAATTATAAAACACTTATAACAGTTCCTGGCACATAGTTAAATGCTACATAAATATTAGCTATATTACCATTATTATTTTTAATATTAATATTATTACTATTAGCATAGTATCAAAGGATCAGCATTTAATTGACTCTAAGTCCAGCATGCCAAACTACCTCTCCTGTACTTAGTTTAGGATACACAGGATAGGTGAGGGGAGGGAGAGAGGGAGAAAACTTAGAACTTAAAATTTTTTAAAAAATGTTAAAAGTTTTTGTTTAAATGTAATTGAGAAAAAAACATTGTGTATAAATAAAGATAGCTATTTTGATTATCTTTACTATAGTAATTTAGATGAAATATCTATAGTTTTAGCTGCCTTCTATGAACTCAAATATTGCGACAGGACACTTCCAAAATACTACATAGCTAAAATTCCAGTAAGCCTCAGAATTCTAAATGAATTTTGTTAACATATGCTAGTCCAGGAGTGGGGAACCTACGGTCTTGAAGCCACACGTGACCTTCTAGGTTCTCAGGTGTGGCCTTTTGACTGAGTCCAAGTTTTACAGAATAAGTCTTTTTATTAAGGGGATTTGTTCTGTGAAGTTTGTATTCAGTCAAAGAGCCACATTTGAGGACCTAGAGGGTCACATGTGGCCTTGCAGTTGCAGGTTCCCCACCCCTGGGATAGTCCAATGTGTCAGTGCTGTCATTCAAAACCTTAAAACTAAAACAAGTGAAAAAGATAAATCTAAACTTTCAAGCAAGCATGCACAGTAAAGTATTCAGAGGCATTTTTGTGCTTTTCTAAATATATACATAATGCATATAAAACATTCTTCTGACTATGTAATAGCACCAGAGCAAAACAAATTTATCTTCATGATTTAAAAAAAAATAAAAGAATCAATGATTTATTAGCAATTATAGAATTAATGAAAATGTCTCTGCATTTTAGGAGAGAATGAGATCTAGGGAATGCACATTCCCTAGATGTGCCCTAGAACACTAGACCAGCCCCCGTAACTAACATATGGAAGGACATGGAAAAGAGTTACACATGATGGGCAAGCATAGATAGATTGTTATCTCCATCAATGGAGGCAATATATGCACTGATGAGATCACAGATGCATTAATATATTGGAGTAAAAGAAAATATTTATCTATCTATATAGTAGCTCACCAAATACTTATAAGCACTGACTTTTTTTTTTAAGATAGTGAGTGATCTATCACCAAACACCAAGGCATTCACAGCAAAGGGTTAGAAAATGACTACTAAATCTCTAGATTTCCACAATACAATGACCTAAAAAAGGTACAAGTATGAAGACAATGAAAATCATAAATGACTACTGATTCTAGAACATGAAAATCATGAACTCAAAGTAGTATTTTAAATTTCTGAGGAAGCTATGCAATTAAAATTATTTATCTAAATTTATTTCTAAAATAAAAGCATAATGTTCAATATCTATTCTAAAATAACCTTTTTCTAATATGCACAGTAGATAATACTATCAAGTAATGTATGAAGTGTAAACTTAATGGATTTTAAATTTAAATACTTCAATGATTTTGCCTTAAGAAACTTGAATAAACACATTTACAAATGTTATCTACTAATACCAATTTATGGCCTTAGAACCTTTTGTATTTTTCTATGCTAATTAAAAATGAAAGTCCCATAGTCATGCCTGAATCTCTGATCTGAATTTGTTTTTTACCTATGTGCTTGATTATTAAGGTTTAGCGATCCTGTCTGGTACATCTCCTCCAACTGCTTTCTGTTCCCAAAGTACAGAGCAAGGTCTGTGGCGATGATGGCTTTGCGGATGATCTCCAGCACCTGCTCATATTCACTGGAGCTCAGAGAGGAGAAGATATTGTGCCCTTCCAACTATGAAGAAATAAAAAAAAAAAGAAGAGACCAATAAAAAGCACGAGTTCTAATCTTGTGATTGTTTCAGTTATTTGGAACAAGAAAGCTAAAGCCACTTTACATGCTAATGAAAATTCTTTGAAGAATAAAGGGACAATATGAGATGATTTTTTTCTTGAAGAGTTATACTGATAATGCTGCTACCATGGAAATGATAAGCAAGCTGCACATATGGTAAACACTAATCACAACACACAACTTAAACATGCTTTAATTTTTTTTTTAATTTATTTGATTTTTTGTCATTTTTTAAAGTCCAGCACAAGCAAATCAGAAGCACTATTTGGACTCTGGTTTTGAAATCTCACAAATACCACATTCTATTAATTTCTATTTTACACAGACGATTATAGACTTGCAAAGAACCTAGTAATCTAGTCCTTTCCCTAGCCTGATGGTATGATAGTTCTAAACTGAGATGCACATGAAAAAATCTTTCTTCATTGTCTTAAGAAACACATAATATTATATTCCACAACCTTCACCAGTTACTCATTTCACTATTTAACAGTCTCATTTTAAGGCAAGACTTTCTAACCTAACCACCTGGGGATGTAATTGACTTAAGGCTATTTCTCTTATTATATCCTAAGTGGAGATGAGAAACAGTTGTGTATCTTCATACAGAGTAAAGGGCAATTAATTGAGATTCTAACAATTCAGAATTTATGATCATTAGAATTATGTATATGTGATTCCTTTGGGGAAAAAATTGAGATGACTTTCTGTTCTACCTCTCTCATACATAAAATGAAAGAGAGCAATTTTAAGCCCTACCTCACAGGGCTACTGTAAGGATCACGTGAGATATTTCACACACACACACACACACACACATATATCTATGTATCTAGGTCATTGGAAATATGTGTGTGTAAAATATCTCATGTAATATATATCTTATTACATGTGTGTGTTTGTGTATAATATGTGTATATATATCTTTATAAACCTTAAAGATTTCTATGAATTTTAGCTATAATTACAGGTTTGTGAAATTGAGGTTTTCCCTCAATAGACTATCTAATTCTAATTCAACAAGTAATTCTCCCACAGGAAAGGTTTTTACGTACATGATTACTGTCTCATATAGTGTAAATATACTATGACTTGTAATTTTTTTCATTAATTTATTCTAATATACTTAATATCAGTTGTTCAGAGTATAGTATTCTACATTTAAACTTAATAAACTCCATTTCCTCAAATGTTATTATATAGCTGATATATTGCACTAAGATGGGCCTACCTAACATTATTTGGAATTATATGCAATCCATGCTCACAATTTCACTGTGACATTTGAACTGGAACACATCAAGGGCCTCACATTAAATACATACATCTCACTCCCCTTTGGGATACCATCATAGCTGCTCTCTAAATCTAGTGAAAAAAAGACTCTGAAAAAGCTGGTGCTTCCCTTCAAAACATAAAATGACTACTGGAGTTTTTGTTTACACTTGTGTTTTTTGTACTTCTATCAGAGCTGTCAAACACAAAAGGGCTGGTCCACAAATACTCCTGAGTGCAGCCTGTACCAGAATAAAATGTAATTAGGAAATATGTAACAAAATAAATAGAAATAGAATCTAGGTAATGATAATATATGGTTTTCTAAGTCAACAGGCACCCACAGGGATCCTCATGTAAGGTTTAGTGTCCTCAGTTTCTATTTGAGATTGACAACACTGACTTAGATCACTAAGGTCTTTCAAAGAGGCAGCAAACTCTGCATTGAGCATTTGAGTGTGATTTTTATGTCACATTAAGGTCAATGACCTCTGAGGTCCCTTCCAGATCAAAGTCACTGATCCTATGAAATACAATTCCAAAATTTTAAAGTATGTTAGTGAGAAAATATAATTTTAACAGGAAATATTCCTATTTTATGATTTGCTAAACATAATTAGCATTGAGGTTTTACCATATTTGAAAAACATTAATAAGCATGCTATGACTACTTATTTTCTCTAAGCTAAATAAACTTAGTTCATTTAAATAAGAGGTTCTTAACATTTTTGTGTGTTTACAGATCCCCTTGTGATGTCTTGTGAAGCCTATGGATCCCTTCTCAGAATAATAATAAAAGATTACAAAGGAAACCAAGTTATTGAAAACAAAGCAATTTTTTTCCATCCCAGTTTAAGGACTCTCTGCAGTCTATCCTTGGGTCCCCAGGTTAAGAACCCTTGATTTAAATGTCGATCGATCGTTTATCTCTGCACTCATGTTTGGAGTTTTCCAAGTTCTATATATTTTTTATGATGAAACGAAAATTGGTCATTATTCAATTCAATTTAACAAACATTTACTAGAGTTCAGACATTGGGCTACATGTTATTCTTTTAAAAAAAAAGTCTGGTGTGGAAAATTATAAGTTTAATCTAAAATGCATTCATATTCTCATGCTCTACAAATGTTTGTGTGTTCTACCAAAATACATGTTATCCTTTTTTGTTTGTTGATGGTCAGTTTAAGGTACACTCTGACAAGCCTCAATGCATGTGGTATGATTTGAGAGGCACGAGGAAGAAGCCAAACCTCCCCCAAATTGGTTGTCTTAACATGATCTTCTTAAAAAATGCAAACAGAGCTAAAAGGGATAAGAGGTTAAATTAATGTGCAGTAAGCTGTTTGTGACTTATAAAATCTGCTTTACTTTGTATAGGGAAGAAAAAGTACTTCACAGGTTGGGGGAAGGGAAAGAATTGAGAAAAAGAAGGTGAGCAGTAGGGAAGTTAAGCCTTGTCCACTTCATAATTCTGCCTACGGTCACCCTGTACTCAAACTCCTTGGAAAAAGCTCACTGGACTAAAAGTCAAGAGACCGGCTCTGAGGTCTTGGATCTGCCACTAATTCCCTTTGTGGCTCTTGTTGGACTGCTTTGCTTCCCTGAGCCTATTTCTTTGTCAGTAAAATGAGAGGTTTGAGCTAAATGACATTGGGGGTCCCTTTCCATTTGTAACCTCACATAATTATAATTCTATATATTTTCATATCTATTAGTTTTGTGTCTCCTACTAATTTGTAAGGTCTTTTAAGGACTAAGTCATTTACTTCTTTTATAGCTTCCCCACAATGCTATTTGCATAATGAGGTGCTTGACAAATACTTGCTGACTGATTATAATTAATTGGTGAAAACCACCATAACTGTATTCAGATCTCTTCACAGCTGCTGTAGGATTGGTGATAATGCTATAAAGATAGTTAAGACAAAGGAGACTGGAATGTTTACATAGTGAGAAGAAGAGTTTTCTCTTCAAATATTGAAGGTTTTTCATGAAGAGGATGTGATTTGATTTCTGTTTGGAACAAGAAAACAGATGGATTGAAGTTGCAGAAAAGCAAATTTAGGTTTGGTATTTTCCAAAAGTTTAACAGGTTATGTTCAGAGTCGCCATTTTAGGCCATCAAATGGAAGCTAAATGATCATTGGTTAAGAGGGGACTCTTGTTCAGATACAAGTTTGACTCTGTGGCCTCAGGGTCCCTTCTGAGTTTGATTTTGTGATCATGTGACTGATAATGCCAAGGGATAGACTTATACCCTGTGAACTGGGCCACGGACAGGACCTTAGGGAACAGTCAACATAAAGAGGTGAGAAGATAAAAAGGAGCCAGTGAAGGAGACAGAGAATGAACACTCAGAAAAGTAGGAGAACTTGCAGACTGTAGTTTCTTTAAATCTAAGGTAAAAGAGAATGCATTATGAGGAAATTGTCATCACTATCAAATGCTGAAAACAAGTCAAGGGAGATGAGAACCTAAAAAAAGTGCCAGATTTTTTTTTTTAAGAAAAAGGTCCTCAGAGATCTTTCAAAAGAGTACTTTCAATAATACCAAAGCTCAGCTCTTTTTTGTTGATTTTTAGTAGTGATGCTACTTAGGAACTCAGGTACAGGAACAGAGAAATCACATGGTGCAGGTCATTCAGGAAGAATGGGTTGGTCAGGACTACATAGTATATTAAGTGAAGAAGCAAGGTATCCTAGGAGAGTACCTAGTGAAACATGGGAGGTGCAGACTGTTAGGCAAATTTTAGGTATGGAGCTACTTGAAGGCAGTTGGGGCAAAATGAACAGAAAGAAGAAAGATGGATCAAAGAACCAGCAATGCGGTAGAGTGAACAGAGTCCTGGCTCTAGAGTCAGATGGCCTGGGTTCAAATCCTGCCTCAAAGCCTACTCCTTGTGTAATCTCGAACAAATTACTGAATTTCCCTAAGCCTCACTTTCCTCACTTGCCAAATGAAGAGGTTGTATTAAGGGCCTTTGAAGTCCCTTCGAGTTCTGTATTATGAAGCTATAATCCTACAATGATGAAGAATGGACTTAGGGTAAATAAAAAGAATGGGAGAATTGGAAAGCTATGAGGGTTGTCTTGGTGATTAAAATTGCAAAGTTCAGGTTTCATTTTGAGAAATGATGAGATTTAAGATGTTACAGTGCTGCTGTCCACACCTGAAGCAATTATAAGTAAATTTAATGAATATCATGTACAAGAATCAAGAAATGTCAAAATTGGAAAGAACCTCTGAGGTAACCCAGAACAAAATTTACCTGAACAAAATTCTTTCGACAGCATTTCCCAAACCAGTCATTCAACCTTTTCCTGAAAATCTGGAGTAGGGGCAAGGATCCCACCATCCTCCTACAGCATGTTCTAGTTTTGAGTGGCTTTGTCAGGAAGCTTTTTTTGATTGTGAGACTCCATCTGCTTAACTTTTACCCCATTATTCCTACTTCTGTCTATTTCTTCCTCTCTGTGACTTCCCTTAAAATGCTTGAAGAAAGATAGCATATCTCTCTACTCAAAGCTGAACTTTAAGCTAAACATCCCCGCTTCTTCAACATATGCCATGAACTTGAAGCTAAATTAAGAGTGTAGATAATGAATCAGACAGTGAGTATTTAAGTTGATCCTAGGGTATATTTGTATTTACGCAGGAATCCACA